TTATTTCCTTCTTTGACCTTTGACCCTAGGGCACCCACAAGAGTCTGAAAGGCAACGCCAGAGCGTTGTCCACTGTGACTGCCATCATCGATGGCACAGGATCTATAGGTCAGTATCACTAATCATCACGCGTGTCTGTACTGAAACACAGAGTGAAGAACCAAGCAGCACATTGTGAGACTTCCTGCTCACACAAGTTATAAAGGACAACACGAGAAGAGGGTGGTGCGAAAACACACAGATCTAATTCAAAAATATCAAATGTTTCTCAATATCAAAATGCTAAGATAAAGCTAACCAACAATGTGTCCGTCCTACCATCACTATCACCAACATTAGATGTGAATGATCTGCTCAGTGATGTTCAACTTCATATATCTTCTCTTACCCCTCAGTCTAATGTTAAGATAATACACACTCACACCCTTTTGTTTGTGCTGTCAGGTGCAGCACTGGGCCCCCTGCTGGCGGGGCTGCTGTCTGCAGGGGGGTGGGATCGGGTCTTCTACATGCTGATGACTGCTGACTTCCTGGCTCTGTTGGTGAGTGTTTAAAAAGTCTGTTACAGCAGTTAGTCTGTTTCAGATGTTTCTGATGTTTCTGATGTTTCTGAAATGACTGATGTTACTGCTGTTACTGCTGTCCTCCAGCTGCTCTACAGCAGGTGTAGCTAGTTAACATAGTTGAGCATTTAGCATTTACAGAGCCAAAAAGCTCTGCTTGGTGGAGACCATAAACAGAGTGAATGTTGGACACAAAGATGACTCAAAATGATGTTGAATTTGATCACTTTATTAGGTGATCAGATACTTTGTTTTCAGCGTGTTCTGCTGCCCCCAAATCACCAAATAAAAGTAATCAATACATGAAGTTTTTTAATTCAGCACTAGAAAATAGGAATATGTTTCAAATAATGACTGGCTAATGTGTAATAACTTTGTGTCTGTGTGCAGTGCTTGTTACGGCTTGTGACAAAGGAGCTGACATCATCTAAATCCCCTCCCATCTCGGCTGTAGAGTAAGTCGTGCTTCTGTCATCATTTCACTCAAGCTTCTGTTTCTATTGGATAATCTCGCCCATTTCTCACAGATGCTCGTTATGAATTCATTTGATTTAATATCTAAATGTGCATGTCAAATTGTTCTCCACTTATATTAAGTAGAAGTATTTGAAATGTATTTGTCAAAAGTCTCTATTTCTTTAAAAAAGGAATTATGTTATATATTTGGAAGCTAGGAAAAAATTGTTCATGCTTCAAAAGAAAACACATTTACTGGTGAGGGGCATTGAAACCTGAAAGAAGGGATTCTGGAAAAAGATCAGGGCGGAGAGGGAACAGTGTTTGTGTTTGAGTCCAATTTATAAAAAAAAACAAAAAAAAAAAAAAAAGTCTTTGATTCTATAAACCACTGACAACATTTTCTTAAATTCTGTTTACCATTTAGGGAACTTTTATCTTCAGAAAAGGAAAACTAAAAAGAAGCAGTGTTATCAGACCTTGAATCAAATATATGCTCTAAATGAAAGTAATAATAGTTTTATTTATTTAGGAGAAAAGTTGTTTCTAGAACAAAAACGTTTTTTTACTCAAACACAAACCCGTAAAACCAGAGAAACAGATCATTTTGATTTGGAATAGTTTAGAAATCAAGAGACCACTGCAAACTGAACATTCTGCAAAACAAACAACACATTCACTGGAGAGTGGTGTATATAGATTTAAAAACAATATGTATCATTTGATAGCTTTCTCCTCTTTAGCGAAAACAACCTAAGGAGAAATAATGTTCATAAAACATTTTGATTCTGGAAAAAGACAAGGGCAGGTGGGTAGAGATTCTTCTAGAGAAAGTGTTTGTTTCTTCACTAGTTATTGAAAGGGACCTGAAGGCCATTCTGCTTCTCCTTCCCTGACAGCAATGGCTACACAGTAAAGGTGTAGCCATCACATTTTACAGTGCCACAAGATGGCAACTCAATCCATCTTTATCGCAGGGTATTCATCATTTAATTTAACATTGCATACATTTATTGAGATATGATAGCCATCCAAGGCCAAAGAATGTAAGATGAAGGATTGTTCTTCTGATTCACCAGCAGTAGAGTCCTATACTTCAGAGAACATGGTGCCACTATGAGAATCACTAATAGAAAAGAAGGCAAAGACTTCAGGATTGGATGGCACTTCAAGTTTTATTTCAGATGTAGGGGTCTTTTAGGATCTCCACTTTAGGACATGTTTAATATATCAGTGAACGGGATTGAAACCCTGCCTTGATTACTTTTTATTAAAGTATATAGAGCCTTCCTCAGTCATTGTGTTCTTCATGGACAACAAGTTCAGTTTTCAGAGTGTGTTGCTCCACACTGTAAAACTTAATGACACCCAACTTATCAATATGGTGTTAATGTTTGTCTCTACCCCACAGGTTGAAGGAGCTCTGAGCACTTTGATTGCACTGCCTCCACGATGAACGCACACACACACACACACACACACACACACACACACACACACACACACACACACACACACAGGTGTGTTGCTGTGCAGGGCTGAAGTGCAGCAGGGTTTCCTCTGCAGCACTCATCCACACACACTGTATGTGCAGACAGGAACACACACATGCTTCCTGGTCATTGTCTGGACCTAAGTTGACCTGATGGCAGTTAAGTTGAGTGTGAACACACTACCTGTTCATTCTACTTAGGATTTGTAGATAAATAAAACTAGCCTTACTTTAAAGTCTATCAGAACTAGAAGTGACTTGAAATGTTTATTTTGGGAGCAATCTTTGAAACAGCAACTTCCATGCAGGGGTCCGAAAAGATCCTTCTGTACCATCACTCTCCTTATAAGCACACCATACCTGAACTTACCATAACAATCTTTTACATCTATACTACCCATACTATTATACCTAAATGTGTATGTTGTTCAAAATCAGCTTATAGAAGAATGCTCTGTTTCAAATTAAACTCCCCCCCCCCCCACTACAGCAGTTCCATGTTTCTTCAAAGAACAGTAGTCCTACTTAGAAGAGTTGATTGCATGTTCTGTGGGTTATTAAGAATAGCACGAACACTGTCTCTGTATCAACAGGTTGTATTAATAATGTCCACAACTGTCTCCATTGAAGGAGTATGTGTGTCATCACTTGCAGCGATCTACGTTCACACTGTTGAGCTGGTGATGAAAACAGAAAGAGATGGACCCTTTCCCTCCTCTGACTTTATGTGAGGAAAGAGCACAAACCAACACCACTACATGTCCCAAACACCCCCCCCCCCACTGTGGAAGCTGCTGTTTCAAGGTCACCTTTGCCTTACTGAACCAAAGAGACTGTGGGTGTCATGCTGTTATTTAAATAACACTACTTATTTAAGTCCTTTAATTTATTCCTATATTTTGTGCGGTGGTCTCTGAGTTTGCTATGAAATGAAGGCACCAAAGTTGTATTTTTATGTAAACCTGCAGATAAGGATGTATGTTTTTGGTGGGTATGTGTTTGGGGATCTATAGGGAGATATTATGAATGTAATGGTTTTTTCAAATTTAGATGACTGACTTGATGTCAAAGTTCTTATGGATATATTTTGCTGATACATAAGGTTAATGAGAAATATACTGGTAGTATATCTTCCCATATCTGATCATTCTTTCCAAGATTGTATTAAGCATTTAACTAACTATATTCTGTTAATGGATTGGATGTAAAAATGGTATCTAAGTAAATGCACAAAACACAAACACATTGTAATGTTTGTACATTTTTATTGAAAACGTTGTGATGGTAGCCTTGAGACATCATCATGCCTTCCTCAGAACACATGTTGTGTATTTGTGCCAGTGGTAGGGACAGTACTTGATACATTGTGTGCCTTGTTTGTTGTTGGTCTTTTTGCTGGGCAGTTGATTTTGTAAAGACAAAACAAATCCAAATGTTTGATTAAGGATGGACCTGCTTTGGGAATGGTTCACTCCCAAGCATTGAGTAAAATAAATAAACTTTTAAAAAATGGTTTTCTTTGCCTAACTGTTCTGAGGGGGTGTTTGTGAAGGCTCGTCTTTGTTGCATACTTTTACAGGTCAGCTAAATCGGTCTGACTCATGGCATGGAGGGGCCTCGAGTCTCAGCTGGAGGTGGCAGGTGTCATCGGAAACGATCCTGAAGGACAGAAACCCACTCAGTGACACAAGCAGACACACACACAGAGGTTGGAAAGGGGTATGTTCCAGACCTCTGCATTCAAGAAAGAGAATGAAATACTTAAAGCATCAAAATATACAAAAAGGAAAAGAGGATGTAGCTAAAGCTGAAATGTCTGTACCACTTTCTTATAAATATTTTGTTTACGTGCACAGACATTTTGGGGGGCGGGAGCTCAAGTGAGAAAAAGGGCACTTCCCATAATCATTTATAAAAAAAATGTAAAACAAAAAGTGAAATATAGTTGCACATCTCTGACTTACTGACCAATTTATTTTAATACCCTCACACTGACGCAATTGTTTAATACTCAACAGAATTCTACAAAATAATCAGCTAACAGAGACAATGGTCTTCTTTAGTATTCACTAAGCACAAGAGCAGACAACAAACTAGTACAATTCATAGTTATTAAATGAGCAGCCAACAATCAAAATGATGAAGTTACTGTTTAAGGACATTACAGGCAAAAAGATCGTTTTTTCATGTACTTGTTATTTTGGTCTATTTTGCTTCCATGTTTTCTTTCACTCTAATGGAAAGAAAACTTCCAAGAAACACATAAATGGTGTTCGTTTTGCTGCCATGTCTGAATTCATCTATAGATTTAAAACTAATCTGCATTTAAACATAACATTTCAGGGGAAATACTGACTTGACGTAAGTAACTATCTGGGGAAGTTGTGAGGTGATATGTTTTTTAGTTTGATCCTTTTCACCTGCAATTTCTTGGTAACTGCATGCAAATTAGCGCATTTTAATTAGGCCTAGTTAACGCCTAGTTTCCATATCAATGTGGCGATTGTGATGACGTTATTAGATACACATTTTACTGTATTCACCTTTAGTGTCTCCCCTTAAGTAGGCTACAGTACATTAGCCTGTATGCCCATGATAAATTGCCTTAGCTAAACCTTGAGCTAACTTATCCATTAGCTAGTAGCCTACCTTAGTTAACTATATTTGTTATTGTCTTTTAGCTAATTTGCTGTAAACTCGAGGCACTAGCAGTTTAGTCATTTGTTCATCACCACTCACCTTCAAAATAAGCCAAAACAATATTTGCACCGGGGCCAATCACAACCTTGTTACGCCACTGGGCTGAGCTACAAACAAGTGTTATCTGTGTAATGTACACACACCGTCTGACTGCTCAAACATGCGGATCAGTCCTTCTGGGTGGGTGAACTTTTGCTTAGATGTCATTGGTAAGCGATGTGGAAAAAATATCTCTTTTTAAATTGTAATGAGAGTAAATTGAGGTCTGGTGAATCCTGAAAGTTCCTCCACTCCCTTCCACCAGATACCATCAGGTCAGACCTGTGAAGAAGACAATAAAGCTATTCTTAATTAAGATAAGATGGGCCTGTATTGATCCCCGTAAGGAAATTCAGGAGTTAAAGCAGCTACAGAGTAGTGAATTACAGGACTGTAAGATAATAGTTCACAGAAGGAAAATACAATAAAAACAATGATAAAAGTAACTGTTAAAACAAGATATCACAACAAGGCAAACAACAGATTGATCAGTTTAATCAACTTTGTGACTTTGTTTTGAAAAGTGCTGTATGATAAGGGGAGCGTGCCTTTAGGTGAGCGCGCGGCCCCAGAAGGTGTGCAGTCAGTGGGGCGGGGGCGCGCGGCCGGGCTTTATGAGATGCTGCAGAGAGGAGGCGACAGAGGGGGGGAGCTGAGACCGAGAGGGAGGCTAAGTGACAGAGAGTGTGTGTCGGTGTGTGACAGAGAGACGGGCAGCGGGCATGCTGTCGGACCGCTGACTCACTTTCTCCCACCCTACTTTTGTGTAACGGTGGTGGGAGTCGGACCGGAGCGGCGGCCCGGGGCCCCGAGCAGGAGCCCGGATCAGGAGCCCGGAGGAGGGAGCAGGAGCTCGGAGGAGGAGCCCGGAGCAGGAGCAGGAGCCGCGCAGTGACGCGCCTCGCAGGCAGAGGAGAGGGATCATGGGCTCCGCGTCCTCCTCCTACCGGGTGATTTACCTGGACGTGGACGGCAGGATTCAGAAGGTAGGACTCAGTGTGACCTGCACTGACCCCCTGAAATCACCAGTATTAATACATAATATTTTAATATCAATAAATGCTTTTTCACAAGAAAAAGCTGGGGACTCTGGGTAAATATTTGGGGGAAGGGTATAATATACAACGAAAGTGACCATGAATGATTAAAAACGGGAGCATTTCCAAATAAAAGTTACCATAATTACAAAAATAATAATTTGTACATCATTTTATATATATTATATATTATATAAGTATTTATTGTTTATAATTTGTTATTATCAATATCAGCATGGCTTATATTAAAGGGGACCTATCATGCAAAATGCCATTTTTTTATGTATTTTATACATAAATATGTGTCCCCGGTGTGTCAGGGAACTCACGCAGCGTCAGAAAAAAAAAACCCTCTCTCTTTTCCTCCGTACCCAAATCTCTAACAACGGGGCTACAACGGAGCTGATCCAGATTTGTGTCCGATATGACGTAATATCGGAAATGTAGGCTGGCTTTACACCCACGGCCCTATCAGAAACGTTGCTATCAGAAACAAAGCTTTATACCCCAAATCAGCACTTTTGAAACAGGAAGTGAAATAGAGGGATATGAGGCATGGCTAGAATGGGTGATCTGTTTGGTATTTTGAGCAAAACACTTCATAGACATGTTTTTTATATATTTTTATATATCTGAGACCTATGCTATTGCCTAAAAATAGCATGATAGGTCCACTTTAAATTAGTCTATTTCAATATTATGGAAATTGTATCGATACAAATATTATAGAATCGGAGGAGGAAACCCTGTTTAATGGTCACACATACATGCACACAGCACACACAGTGAAATGTGTTCTCTACTTTTAACTAGGAGCAGTGCACAGCGCCCGGGGAGCAATGGGGGGTGGGGGGGGTGGGGGGTGTCCAGTGCCTTGCTCAGGACAGCCCCAGGAGGTGAATTGGGACCTCTCAGAGTACCAGTCCACACTCCAAGTCTGTTCGGGAACTTGAACTGGCGACCCTACGGCTCCAGGTCCAAGCCCCTACTGACTGAGCCACTGCCCGGCAATTATAATTTGAATCTAAATGTTTTACTTATGTTTTTCATTTTTATTGATTACTAATTGATAAGTGTTAAATAGAAAAGTGCGGCAGCATAGTCGGTAAAATTGTCAAATATTTTGCTGTTGGTAAAACCTTGAAATTCACACCGTAAATCTCTACAGTAATATATGTGAGGATACAACAAAACTAAAATATGATGTTACTTCAACTGCACTATTGAGCACCGCAGGGCAAACAAATGTCTGTGGGGTCTAAGTGGATTAATCAAATGTCTTTATGCATCAGTAAGTTCATGTATGGATTTTATAGAAATATGTGTTGAGTTTTATTTATTAACGGGAGTTTCTTTTTGTGTCTTCACTATCTGACTCGACTAACTAAAGGAGAGCTGTGACCCTGTGTCATAAAACACTAACAAAACCATATAGCAATACATCAGCAATATGATAGTCCCCTGTTTGAGACATGATGCTGCAGAGAGGTCAGTTACAGAGGGAGCACCAGGTCAGCCTTTATTGTTGTGTGCGGTGTATACATGACAGTAAAGTGGTGGAATTATAAAACATTCTGGCATGGCCTATAATCTGAATGTCATGTCTGTTAACGGCATCACATTTAAATAGCTCTTTATTATCTAAACATAGTGCCATACGTTTTCTTTTACTATATCATCACCAACACTGAGTTAGTTTAGCACTTCCTGTCTTTCTTCCATGTCCCAGATGTTTTGTGTGAGGGTGAAGGGTGAAGGGTAACGAGGGTGAAGGGTAACGAGGGTGAAGGGTAACCCAGGGTAACCCAGGGTAACCCAGCCTCACACTGCACGATTCTTCTCTCACCTCAGAGCCTTTCTTTAGTGTTGGATGTTAATAATAATCATATAATAAATCCTGCAAATAATCAAGGAAACAGAGACATGTTGTCGTAAAACAGCTGCAATAAATCCAAACCTACTGTGTCAGCTGCTTCATCCTTCCGATTCTGTAAGACCTGAAACACTGATAAACTGACTCCTCAGCCATCCATCCATCCACCCACCAACCAACCCACCCATCCTGCTCAGGGTCACAGGGTCACAGGGTCACTCAATCCTGTTAAAGGGAAACCTACATCAGTCTGCTTTAAGCACAAGAAGAGCACAAGAGATTTCCCTGTGAGCCATGTCTGTTACAGTTCAATTGGAAACATGAATCACTGCCCTAATAAGAAAAAGCACTACTTCCTCAGTCTCAATGAGAAAAGCAAAATAATCCAGTCAGCACAATAATCCAATATTGAAAATACCGCATGCACTCATTATTCCACATAAACAGTGTCATTTCAGAATCAGAGAATCGTTTTATTAGAAATTAAGTTTACACCAATGAGTAATATTTACACAAAATATAATTATGTAAGAAACAGTATAATAAAATATTACAAATACTATGTTCAAAGTATAGACCATTTGTCCCATTGTGGCCCTTCTGAAGCCCCTTTCTGTTTACTCTGACAGACCAATGGAGGAGGAGCAGCCGCTCATAAAAGGACCATCATGAGTTTTATGCCTCCCCGGCACTTTGCATTTATTGTGTCGTGTCTTCTTTATGGAGTTCACACGTGTGTGCTGCACATAACCAAGTAATTTCCTCATGCATACACTTTCTATATGCAACAGGGGAGGACATGCTCTTGTAAAATAAAAAAAAGCTTTTAATAGATCCTAATGTGTTTGAAGCAGGCAGGGACAGGGGACACATCAGAAGAAACATATCCTGTGGATCAGCTATATTTAAAAAAGTTATGTTTCTTATTTTTGTGAATGGTTGAACCTCAGAATGTTCTGTGTGTGTGTGTGTGTGTGTGTGTGGGTGTGTGTGTGTGTGTGTGTGTGTGTGTGTGTTGTGTGTGTGGGTGGTGTGTGTGTGTGTGTGTGTGTGTGTGGTGTGTGTGTGTGTGTGTGTGTGTTGTGTGTGTGTGTGTGTGTGTGTGTGTGTGTGTGTGTGTGTGTGTGTGTGTGTGTGTGTGTGTGTGTGTGTGTCTGTGTGTTCCCTGCAGCTGTATGTTTGCATTTGCCTGTATTGAGTGCAGATGTATTGAGCTGTTTATTGGCAGGTCGCAGGTCACATGTTGCTAGGCTGGCAATGCTGAGAGTCCCTGTAAGCTGTGTAACAGACACTTAGATTTAGATTTACTATTGGATTACTTTATTAAGGTATTCTTTTATAAATGTATTAAATTCATTTCAGGTCAGGTAAGGTAATTGAAGATTATTCATTTGAGAGGATGAAGGGTTGGAACACAATAAGAGTGGAAGGTCCAGTGTGCATGTTTTTCATCTTAAACACATCATTTCATTTGTTTTTAATGAATAATCTGTTGCATATTCAGCTCCACTTCATACACTCGAGGTGAACAGCAGCTTCCAGTACGGAGCTGTGTGATGAGTGCGTGGTGCTGCAATCACACTTCTCTGTTGTTTGTTTCATGCTATTGTCCCCTGTTCTTATTCACGATGCTCAGATTCTGGTTCGAGTGTCAGGTTTGAATATGCCGTCTTTAGTATTTGCATAACAGTGGATGTTTTATGGAGTAGGTTCATCGTCCTGGGTGCGTTCAGCAGCAGCAGGGGAGCCATTATGATAAAGAGCACTTTATTATGGAAATCAGTCATGGCATCTTAAAACAAGAACCTGAATATTTATCTCTCTTATTTCTGTTCCTTCTCAGTAAAGCTGAGCATTGTTTTTGTTGTGAAATGGACAGTAAAGGATAACAAAGCAAATACATACATTGAACGGAGTGAACTGGAGCCTCTTCGCTCTGGCCCTCAGATGCATGTGCATTCTGTATAGTGTGTATAACTGTGCATTGCATGTGCATGTGTGCACCTACCTGTATACTGTGTGTGTATATTACACTTGCTTTTACACGTTTGTTTTTGGTACGTGTTTATGTAGTTTTGTGTGCAGTGCTCCTTTCTGCAGGATATATGAGTTGTTTTGCACTTTGTGTATATGGTTTTGTTAATAAAGTTTACATATAAAAGACAAAGAATGATGGGAAGCAGAAGATGGATGTTGTTATCTCAAGGATCATGTCAGATTCATACTCATGATGCTAAGCTAACGTTATTCAGAATTACAGATCTGTTGTCGTTTTCACAAACATGAAGAGATTCTGAATGAGGAGAGATGAGTTGCACTGAATGGCTGTGTGTGTGCAGTGTGACATGTTCCTGTCACGTGTGTGTGTGTGTGTGTGTGTGTGTGTGTGTGTGTGTGTGTGTGTGTGTGTGTGTGTGTGTGTGTGTGTGTGTGTGTGTGTGTGTGTGTGTGTGTGTGTGTGTGTGTGTGTGTGTGTGTGTGTGTGTGTGTGTGTGTGTGTGTGTGTGTGTGTGTGTGTGTAGGGCTGTACCCGAATATCCGAATATTCGTTCGTTGGAGTACTATTTGGGTTTCGGATATTCGTTTTGTTTGTTTTTTCGTTTTTTTCCCGTTTCTTTTTCAAATTGAATTTATTGAAATCTCCAATATCAACGTAAGAGCTTGTGCCTCTTCGGGGGTGCTAACACTTAACCATAAAAGTTATCGTTTACTTTCTCCGTCTTTATATGTAGATATTACTTTTCTCCATTAATCTCCGTCACGTTGTTTCCAAAGCAACAACAACTTCCTGTCAACTGCGCTAACTCTCCTTCAAAATAAAAGCATGTCCATAAATAGGAAGCCAAGCCAAATTACACTTAAAGGAGAGGTGTCATGACCATTTCCACTGATCATAATTCCATTGTTGAGGTCTACTAGAATAGATTTATATTGTGCATTGTTCCAAACTCACATTGGTTTCTCATACAGCATCTCTCCAAACTCACATTGGTTTCTCATACAGCATCTCTCCAAACTCACATTGGTTTCTCATACAGCATCTCTCCAAACTCACATTGGTTTCTCATACAGCATC